ATGTTCTTTTGTTGTTCCATCTCATTGTTATTTTACCCACGTTCTTATAGTCAGTGTGTTTTTGATACAAATGATATGGTCATTGACATTGTACCTTAAAAGGGAATGTTGGCCAAAACACACGCACACACACACACACACACAAACACATACACACACATACACACACACACACACACACACACACACACACACACACACACATACACACATATACACACAAAGAAGAGTTTTTGAAAAGTCCCAAGTACCTTGCCGGTGAGTTCCTCCCAGGAGCCAGCCTCCAGGGCATGTCTTTCGCTCTTGAAAGGTTCGTCAAACTTGTCGTTGATGTTCCAGGTGCCCTCCAGATAACAGAGCAGGGGCTTGAAATACTTCCTGTAGTCTCTCACAGTGTGGTTTTGCTCCGCAAAGGCTTTAAACCACTCCTTCATCTCAGCCATTTGGTCCTGGAGACGAACAGGAGAAATAAATACGCACTGGGTGTGTGGGTGGTTGGTGAGTGTCCTGAAGACGTTTCCTATCAGTCGCCCTTATCTTTCTTTTTTTTTCTTTGCATGTTACTCTGTAATAAGACCTTCAACCCTCGGTACCTATATGGCCTACTTGCATCGAAAGTGGAGTAAAACTATCGTTAAAAAGTAGTGAGTGCCATCGTTGTATTAATTTCAACATAACGTCAAATTAATATAATTCAACGAAGGGTACATATTTTTAGACACCATGAGCACAGAATTCAACTTAATATTGTTTTGGTATTGCATCGTAATATTATTTTATGCTTTCTCCATACCCTCTCTTTTTTCCCCTTTCGGAAAAGGCGGGAGGGGGGTGGCAGAGATGGATGGTGGAATCTCCACGCAAAATTAGAGGAGGCTGCAAAGAGTGCGTCTTCATAATTATGATAGCGGTTTCAGTCATTTTACCCGATTTTCCTAATTGGCTCGGTCCTTTCGGGCTCATTCTTTTTATAAAAAATGTATGCTCCTTAACGGAACAACTGTTATTTGTAAATTACTCTCTAGCAGTACTGTCTATAATCCCCGGCACTTATTTCCCCTTTTTGTATTGCAAGTGCCGGAACACCCTAACTAAAAAGTACCCCCCCCCTCCCCACACACACACAAATCGTAACATCTCTAGTCGTCTCCGGCACTTATTTGACATATTTGTGCTGCAAACTCTTGCTACGACCAAGTTATATGAGTCTACCACAAGGACTAACCTTAACTAACAGTTTGTTCGTGACCTCTGGGGGCACTTCCGGGAAGGGGATGTCCTCCACAGCGTGTTTCTCCGTGGAGTTTGGCGAGGCCATCACCAGACTGTAGTCGTTGTGGCGGGTTCTGAAAGACACTCCGTTCAGAACGGCCACAATCTCGCCTTGGCCTGGAAAGTGACCACAAAAAATACGTTCTTGTGCTTGGAAGGTTCTGATATATTGTCATCATTATCATCATCACCACCACCACCACCACCACCAACAACAACAAAAACCCATCAAATTGTCACTATCCAACAAAAAAAAAATTATGCTGATAGGTTCTCTGCTGAAGTTTGCTCATTCTTTTTCATCAAACACCAATCGTCTTTTTCTGTCCTCCTTTTTATTTACATAATACTCTTCAGTAACATCTCTGCTCAAATGTTCGGCACTTATATGACCTCATGTGTTGCAAGTACCGTAAAACTCTTACTAAAACTAAGAAAAGTGGAAAGAAAATCCACCGTCTCTGATTGTGTGGTCGTGTATGCCCTTCACTGCATGTGTGATTGTTGAATGATATGCTCGTAGCTGTACAGGGCCAGTGTGCTTTCTTGTACAAATTTAGCTACACCAGCATTACCACCATCACCACCACCACCACCCCCACCACAACCACAACAACAACAATAACAACAGCAACAATAGCAGCAAAAATAACAACATCAATAAACCTAGCAGGAGCACTACGTCTGCTACTATCAACAACAATAACAACAACAACAACAACAACAACAACAACAACAACAACAACAACGACAACAACAACAATAACAATAATAAAATAGCAACCGCAACAACAAAAAGTTAAATAGTAACACCCCTAAAACCACAACCAACACCACCACTAATCCCGCCAACGACAAGAACAACAACTACAACAACAGCAGCAACATCAACAATGCTAACACCACCATAACAACAGCTACTACCACCACCACCAACAATAGGAACAAGAACCTGTCTCACCGATAGTCCGGCCATGGTTTGGGTGGTCATGTTTGGCCATCATTCGGCGGCCTACGTATAATAGTCTAACTGTACTACCACCATTGGCGGGACCCCATTGGTGCAATTGGTGCAAGCGCTCCACCTAACCCTGGCCTTCCCCCCCCCCCCCCCCATTTTCTAACTGGCTGCGCGCGCGCCAGCGAAGAAACAGACAGCGAGGATGGTTTATGCTCGTCGCACCGCGTGCGGTAGTGTCTGCTGAGAGCAAGCAAAATCTTTGCACCAAAGTTATTTTTGTCACTGTAGAGAAACCTAAATATCGTCCTTCCCGCACAAGAAGAAAGGTGCGTGAAACTCCAGTTCGCAGCACCAATTTGGTGCAAGCTAAAAATTTGATCCAAGTTACCGCTTTCCTATCTACTACACTATATAGCTTGTAACAAAATTGTTGCCGAATGTGTTGGTTCATCTAAAAACAATTGAGGAGATTTACAATTTGTCCAACTTTCAGCACATGATTACAGTAAAACTTGTATTGAATTAGTAATGATATATAGTATCTAGGAATTACAGTGTAACCAGAGCACCCTTATACAAATATTATACACAAATGTATTATTTAAGCAAACAATATGCATTATTCATCATAAAACTTTGATTGCCAAGGCCAGGGCTAAACCAACTTTGGACCCCTCGTTTTAAAAAAATCCTCGCCCCGCACCTGATATAATACATATTTAACGTTTGAGGAAAGCATAGTACGTTTTTGTCTTTTCTGACAAATTTAAACATTATTACGCTTCGGCGACTCTGTGTATTATCAAAACTGTCGTGAAAATCGTGAGTAATGTTTTTCACAACTGCTTTTTTCTGCAGCTAATCTAGGTAAACAATCACTTTTGTAACACACAAACACATGTGTCCGCCCAATGAACAACATTACCATACTGTGATCTGTCAGTGATTATCAAGAGTCACAGGCGTGTACGCTTTTTTAAATCCATTTGATCTGTGTGGTTTTAATATTTTGAATGGTTAACTTGCTGAAATTCATATTGTGATGAATACGAAGTCTCAGATAAAACTGAAATTCTTTATTCACAAGAACATTGCTCTGAAAGTATATAACTATTTCACTTGTGAGAAAAATCGCGGTCGTCTAAATCGTTCAATTTCTGACCCTTCAAGCAGAACTAAACATTTGCTTGATTAAAGTGACAGGACTTTGAACAGTTGGATATCGGAGGAAAATACAACCGGAGACGCGGAGGTGACAAAGAAAGGCCGACCTGTTAAATTTGATACCTTTGTCAGAGATCTCGTGGGACGGGCTATTGGAAAGATGTTAGGCGATAACCTTGACGTCACACTTAGAACACTTATGTCTTATTTGAAAAGCAATCACGATTTGAATATCAACAAACAGACTTTATGGCGCATTGTGAAGAGTCTAGGTTTCAGTTTCAAGAAGACTAAAACATCCAAAGACGTAATTTGTGAGTCAAAGAATATGGTTGCAATGAGGGGGAAGTACCTACGAAAATTAAAACAGCTTAGAGAAGACAACGTTGACCTTTATTTTCTTGATGAGTCCTACATCAATACTCACCACACGTGCATCAAAGAATGGCAATCTGACAGCCAACAGAGATTCATTCCGACGTGAAAAGGTAAACGTCTTGTAATTGCGCATACCGGAAGCCATGAGAGAGGTTTTTGAGTCAAAGTCGAAAGATGAAAATGGCGACTATCACAAAGACATGGATAGTAACGAGTTTGAAAACTGGATTAGTAACACTGTGGTGCCTGCATTAGATAAAAAATCATGCCTGGTTATGGACAATGCATCATATCATAATGAAACTAATCCTGATGATAAAGTGCCAACAAAATCTATGAACAAAGGCCCTATAATAGCCTGGCTGATAAGCATGGGATCGACATAGTACAGCGAAAACCAAAAGGGATCTCCTAGACACTGTGAACGCCAGCGAACAGAGAAAGATAGAAGTTTTTCGAGTAGACAAGTACCTGGAAGAACATGGTCATATACGTCTTAGGCTCCCTCCTTACCACCCTCAGCTTAACCCTATTGAATTAATCTGGGCTGAGGTGAAGAAAAAGGTTGCTTTGGCAAATATACAACATTTAAACTCCATGACGTTAAGCGACACACAAAGCATCCTTATCAAGTACAACCAGAGAATTTTGGCAAAAGTGTGAGGGTCATGTTAAAGCAACAGAGGAAAGATACTGGACAAATGATGGATTAAATTTCCCTAAGCAGCCTAGTGTAGTCATCAACCTGATTGACGATACATCTGATTCTGAATAATTGGTGAGTGTTAAAATAATATGTTTAAATGTGTCCCGTAGATCTGTCACTATCTCTCTATAGGTCGGTCTCTCTGTGTAACCATCAATGTCGCTTCAGATAATGATTATGAAATTTGTTCAGAGCTGGTGACGCCTATGAACATCCGAGAAACTAGCAATGTGTAACAAATTTCAACACGTGATTACTGTAAAACTTGTATTGAATTAGTAATGGTAAATCGTAATTAATTAACCAGCCACAATTTCGGAAAATTGATTGCATTTCCCAGTGCATGAGATGGATACTAAGCTCTTCTCAAAATATGAAGGTGATCGGTTGTGTAGTCTTTGAGATATCCTGCGTCAAACATCGGCAATATTTTTGTTTACAAGCTTTTTTATCGAAACTGTTGTCGCCCTCTATTGCGTAGCAAGTCCTGTTAAGGTAAATTTTCAAATTGAGTCTGGTTGTTGATGCTGCACGAAGTAATTAGAAATCTTTAAATCTTCTCAGATTGTGAGCATAGTGAGTTGTTAGTATTGTTTCACTATATTGCAGCTTTTATGCGGATTCATCTAGAAACAGTTGTAAATATCGATAGATCTACAACACGGGATATCCTGCAGATTCTGACTTTCTCTAGAAATCTAGATGAATCACGTTAACGCTTTGCTTCTTGTGCCTTCTTGTGCCATTCAGCAGGCTACAGTTAGAAGAGAAAGTGCGCATAAAAGAGCTTGGTCCTCATCTGTCGCGCGATTTTCAGCTCAAGAAATGTTCGCTTTTTTCCTGTACGTAGAATGATAAGTAAAAGAAATTGTACTGTTTCCATTACAAGGCTGCTTTTTACTGATCGATCAGACACTGACAAGGTTTTGTCATCAATCACACTCACTCTCTCTTTGCCTTTCTCTCTCTCTCTCTCTCTCTCTCTCTCTCTCTCTCTCTCTCTCGCGCGCGCGCGCTCTCTCTCTCTCTCTCGCTCTTTCTCTCTCTCTCTCTCTCTCTCTCTCTTTCACACACACACACACACATACACACACACACACACACACACGCACACACACACGCACACACACACCCTAACACGCACAGAGACCCACAGAAAGCAATAGAAAGAACAGACGACACCAGAGCGCCTGCCAACCGCTCATTACAATTTTGATAGTAGCAAGTAAGCCTATTGCCCATTTGTGCACTTTCCAATTTTGCACCACCTTTGTCTGCAACTCTCGCGACGCCACTGACTACCACCACCACCACCAAAAATGCTACCACCACCACCCCCGCCAACAACGACAGCAACAACAACAACAACAACAACAACAACAACAATGCTACCACCACCATAACAACAACATCAAGTAAGACACATATCTGTTCTCACCGATGGTCCGGTAATAGTTGCGCGGTCATGTTTGGCCACCTTTCGGCGGCCTACGTGTAATAGTCTAACTGTACTATCACCAGCAACAACAAAAATGCTACCACCACCACCTCCGCCAGCAACAACGACAGCAAAAACATCAACAACAACAACAATAACAATGCTTACACCTCCACCATCATCACCAACAACAACAAGTAAGAAACCTATCTGTTCTCACCGATGGTCCGGAAATAGTTGGGGTGGTCATGTATCGCCATCATACCGTTGCCTACGTGACTGTTGGAGTGGTAGTTGAAGATGCCCATTTCGGTCCCTCGTATGACGTTCACGCCAGAGTAACCCTCACTCCGGACTCTGGGAGAGTTAGACATTTGGGTTTGAAGACCTTTTCAACATAAGTTAGGTTATGATGACGCTGGGTTACTGAATGTGCATCTATCAGAACTATTGATTTTGGCGCTTGTTTTAACGAACGTGTCAACCCTGTTCCTTAAAAAAAAAGGGGGGGGGGGTTACCTAATGTATGAGTATGTTTGTCCTGTTTGATGTGTATTTTTGTCACAGTGTGAGTGAATGCTGAGACATGTGTTTGCTTTGTGCTTTTGCTTGTATGTATGCGAGTGCATGCACACCTGGGTGTCTTTGTATGGGTTTTTACAACTCCATCGGCACAATCAAAATTGTTTACTACGAGGATTTTCAACTCTGTCTTTCAGTGTCAAAACAGGCTGAGAGGAATACAGCATCCCTGCAGAAAGACCGAGATACTCGAAAAAAATTTCCACAACTCGGGAAACGATTCGCACCTCCTGCGTGCAATAGTAAAGCACCTATCAGCTATACCTCTGACATTGTTTCTGTTTCTAGATTAATTTGCATATGCCTGTGTGTGGATGAGTGGACGTGTTTACGTTTACATGTTGAGTCCATGTGTGTGTGTGTGTGTGTGTGTGTGTGTGTGTGTGTGTGTGTGTGTGTGTGTGTGTGCGCGTGCGTGCGTGTGTGTGCGTGTGCCTGTGTGTTTATGTGTGAGTGTGTGTTTGTTTTTGTGCGCATGTGTGTTTGTGTCTGTCTGTGTGTTTGATTGTGTCTGTCTGACTGTCTGTCTGTCCGCATGTGTGTCTGCCTGTCTGTCTGTCTGTCTGTATGTCTGTCTGTCTGTCTGTCTGTCTGTCTGTCTGTCTGTCTGTCTGTCTGTCATTACTGACCTCTCCTCGGCAGCAAACTGCTGCATCATGGCGTATTGACTCAGTTTGGCCAAGTCATCTTCCAGTTGGTCCAACTTCCCCTGCAACTCTTGCACAACTGTCGACTGTGACGTCACAGCGACCGACGTCATCAAAACCACAAACAAGCTGAGAGTCTGGAAATAATAAAGTTCATGACTTATTAATTACGGCAACAAGAAACACATACGACGCTAGACAATCACGATACAAATTCAGCGATGCAATGTAGTTTGTTTGAGTACGGAGAAGCACATCGATACAATAATTATGGTCAATTAGTTCTGGAAAAAGTAAAAACAGACAGACAGAAACTACAGACGGAAAGTAAAGTCCTTACTACTTAACGAAAAATTTGACAGGATGGCGTCAAAGGGGTCCTCCAACAGAATGACATATATCTACAATAATAATAGATAGCATTTGCATAGGACAAATCCTCGCTTAACAGCAAGCTCTATGCGCTTCACAATCTATACTTTTACCCCAGCAGACCTGAGAGCATTCTGAAACAAACTCAACTTCCTGGGAAGCATACAGTGCAAGCAGCCATTTAAAGGCGCTAAAACACTAACATACGTGACAAGATCTTTCGCTGTCTATGGCCGGGTACCCATTTCCACCTAGGTGAAGTGAGGAAAATTCATGTAAAGTGCCTTTCCCAAGGACACAACGTCGGGCTCGCGTCTCGAACCCCTGACCCCGCAACTTCACGATTATGAGTCCGGTAGCCTAACCACTAGGCCACCATCACCACAATAGAAGCCATCCAGCTTGACCTTGACCAAAACATGCACCTCAAACGATACGAGAGGGAAAAATAACTTAAGTATTATTAGAATACTCACAAAAAGAAAGACTGATAGAAAAAAGAATGAAACAAAAGATTAAAAGACAGGGGACGTTTTGTGAACCGATGTGTTTGTTGATATGGGACACGACGAAGGTCCGGAAAGACGGAATAGGATGTGTGTTGGAGGCGTGTTTGAGGGGTATTTGGG